ATCGGAAACTCCCTACGTGGACAGGACACCAGGACCAGCCTTCAAGGTGAGTCATGGTGAGGGGACCATGGGCGGGACCCCAAGTGGACCCGTGGTCTTCTGAGCACATATAGCTCAGTGTACAGAAGATGGTCCAGCTACCACAGTCAAAGCAAAGCTGACCAGCAGGCCAGCCCACATGTCAGGCTGCACACCTGCTCAGGCATTGCTCTTCTGAATGGTGCCAGGGCAGTGAGAACAGATACAGACAAACGAGTGGTTTTGTCAGGGAGGGATTGGCAGGATGGAGCCAAGACACCAAGGCAGGGAATGGTCATGGTCTCTGAGCCCGCAGGCCTGGAGGACAGGGCTGCTTAAAGATGAGGGGTGGTCTTAAGAGGCAGACCCAGAACTCCTACTGGGCTACAGGCTTGAGTGCTGAAAAGGGTCCCAGAGGCATTCTGTGGGATGTGGTTTGTGTCCTCAGAAAGGCTGTATGCTTGCCTCTTGTAGAAATCAGGCTATATGAGGCCTCTTATGGAAATCAGGGTGGCCCAGGATGGTGTAGGCAGGTGGGCAAGGGTATCGGGAAGTTCAGGCTCTCTAGGCTGCACACAGTTTGTTGAGAGCATTTAGTCTTGTTGGGGTTATAGGCCTCTGCCTGAACCAACTGTGGAGTGCCGGGACTCCCAGGGAGGCAGGGATTGGTGGTGGTGGTAAGACAAAGGGTGCAGGATTATATCACCTGCTCTGAAACCCCAAAGAATTGGGCATGGAGTCTGGGCTTAATGCAGAAGGCCTGTGTAGAGACCTGGGTCAGCGTCTTCTCGAACCAGTCCCTCAAATGCTGGCATTGATCAGTTTGAAATGCAACAGAAAAAGAGATATCACTCACTGTAGCAACAGGAATTTAGAGTAACTAAGAATAACTTAGCTTTTGTAAAGAAACCACCGACTTACGTAAGAACACCACTAACTGGCCCCACCTAAAGGTGTGGGGTCTCCCCAGCATAGCACCGCTTAGCCTGCTTTGAATAGTTTGGAGAGGTAACCTGCACCCAGACAGAATGTACACAGAGGTTTCTGGTACTTTAGTTCTCAAATTTGTCTGAGATGCAAGGATAACCAAGAAAAACTTGAGAGAGGGATGACGGAGAAGAGCCTGTGCTGTCAGATACTAAAGTATACTAGTCAGAAGTATGCCAGTATTTCCAGAACCTCCAGGTCAATAAAAAAGAGGAGAAATTCTGAAAAAAACCTCAGTCTAAATCAGAATTTAGGGTGTGTTAGAGGTAGCAACTCAAATTGTGCTGAGTAGTAATTTGGAAATGAAGTAAAGTTCTCAATCTGTATAGCAGGATGTAGTTTAGAAAGTTGAAAAGTTAAACATAAAAACAGTAAGGATAAAACAAGTAGAGGAAAATAACGGTCGATATTTAATCTGGTTTAATCTGATCTTAGAAAGGACTTTGTAAACATAATAGCAAAGGAAGAAATCACAAAGGGAAGTAATAGCTTATGCTACATGGAAATGACAAACTTAAATACAGCAGAAAACATCACACATAAAACTAAAAACAAACAATTGAAAAGGAATTTGTATGGCATAGCTTAATATAACCAACATAGGTAAAGCTTCTCTGAGTAAAAAAGCAAAACAAACAAACAAAAAAACAAGGTAAGCACCTTGTTAGAAAAATAGGCCAAAGAAACATTTTGGGAAGTACTCAAAAGAAATACTGAAGGTCAATAAAGACAAAAATAGTCGGAGGGAAGCAGATTAAGACAAGACCCTCTTTTTTCCTAAAAGATTGTGAGATTCTTAACTCAGCAGTGCTGACTTTGAGAAGACCATGATGACAGGTGGATTGAGCTAGGCCCTTGGCAGGTGGGCAGCTTAGGCAGGCCTAGCTGGTTAGAGACTTTTGGTGAGCTTTTAGGGGAGGCAGTTAGGGGTTTCAGGGGTCATGGGGGCCATGGGAAGAAGCAGGCTTCCCCCAGCAGCAAGGGAGTGCCTGGCTCAGTGATGGGCCGGTGCAGGCCGCTGACACTCCTACTTCATAGATCTTGGAGCCGGGCCGCAGAGAGCGGTTGGGGCTAAAGATGGCCAATGAAGCCGCTGCCAAGAACCGGGCGAAAAAGCAGGAGGCCTTGCGGAGAGTGACGGAGAACCTGGCCAGGTGAGAGGCACCTGACCCATGTGGAGGTCTCTTTCTGGTTCCGCTCAGCCCCACCCGCTGCAGTGTGGACACCTGATGTACAGGACAGATCCAGGGGTTCTGCAGTGGGTCCTATGGCAGCTGCTCTGGTCCAGAGCAAGGCCCTGTGGGAACTGGGATGCGGGGGCCCCTCCATCTTTTCTTCAACCTCTTAGGCACATCCCTAAGAAGAATCTTTAGGCCTGTTGTCCCACTATGAGTTCCTGTCAGCCCTATGGAGATAGGTGTCCTCATTCCCTTTAGAGAGAATTGTGATCCACCCCAGCCCCACAGCCAAGGGCAACACCAGCACTTGACCTTGTTTGGCCACACTGATGTGTACCAGTCTATCGGTGTCCTCAGCCCAGAATTACCACGAGTCTCCCATGCATCTTCCTGTGCAGCTGTGTCAGGCTTGCTGCTGGTGGTTCCCCATCCGTGCTAATCCTGCCTCTCTTGCCTACTGCTTCCACCTCAGCCTCACCCCCAAAGGCCTGAGCCCGGCCATGTCCCCAGCCCTGCAGCGCCTTGTGAGCAGGACGGCCAGCAAGTACACAGACCGGGCCCTGCGGGCCAGCTACACACCATCTCCAGCACGCTCGACTCACCTCAAGACCCCAGCCGGAGGGCCCCAGACTCCAACGAGCACACCAGCTCCAGGCTCTGCCACACGCACCCCCCTCAGCCAGGACCCAGCCTCCATCACAGACAACTTGTTACAGCTCCCTGCCCGGCGCAAAGCCTCAGATTTCTTTTAGGGCCAGGCCTGGGCTGGGCCTGTGGGAGATCTGTGGAGCCTGCAGAGCAGCTATCCACCTAGCAGAGGATTCTGGCCTTCTGGGGACCCAGGCCCAGGCCAAAAGCAGTAACTGTTCCAGAAGCCACAGAAGAAAGACGCCATGCCTTGGCCAGGCTGGCACAGGACCTGCCCCACAACCCTTGGGGTTCATCTCAAGGCCTTGCTGGTACTTTTTTCTATGGAACCCCTGCCCATTTCTATTTAACCGGCATTAAAGAACACCTAGCACAGTCTGCAGGCCACCTCTCCATCCTGCTGTTCATGTGGCCCCTCATGGTCTCAGGACTGTGGGCCTCCCAGGGAAGAAGTTGCTGTGTGGGGTGACCCTTGAAGGACCAGGGTGTCTGGTCTTTTCTACCACCACCTACATAGCTTTCCGTGGCACCCCTGGGCATGGAACCTGCCTTCTGACCTTAGCTCACATCATGTTGCCCCCCCCCCCCCCCTCAATTTAGTTTTTCTGAGGGAGAGAAAGAGCCCTTGGAAGTTGAGCCCTTTGGGTTTACCTGGGACTCTGGACCCAGGTCTATAGCCTCCCCAGCCAGGCTTGGCTTGCATGGTTTGCCAGTGACAGGGCTGCATGGGTCCTAAGTGGGTGTCAGGCCACACTTCTGCGTGTGAGATACCTTCCCAGTATCCTCACCAAGACTTCTAAGCACCTGGTTCCAACTCAGGTGGGGCAGGGCTGTCTTCATCTTCTTGCCCTCCCACAGTGCTCCAGGCACTAACTGCCATAGGCTGCTGAGTCACCAGTCTCCTTGTTGTCACTCCCACCAGCAAGAGCCCCAAGTAACAGTAACTTGGGCCACAGAGTCAAAAACAATGGGGCCTGGCTCCATGCGGACCTGACAGTGCCATGTGTGCCACAGCATTTGCCGCCTGGTCTGAGGCTATTGGTGCCTGATCCCCAGGAAGCCTGAGGCCAGCTGCCTTACATGGAGGTGGGGAGTCCCAGGACCATGGCTTCTTGCCAGATGGGTCTCTTCTGGCCTCAGGTGGGGTCAAGTTGTGCCCTTGGGGGAGCTCACTGCTCCGGGAGGCAACCTGGAATTGCTCAGACTGGAGTCTTGCTTTGAGCACACCCTGTCCTGTGCTAGGCCATCTTCCTGGGTGCTCCTGCATCAGTCTCATACCCACCATGCATGCCAGTGTCCTCTGGAGGCTGGTGCAGGGCCTGCCGCCTGCCTGGGTACTGCTAGCCTGCGCTCCTTGACAGTTCTTGCAAGCTCCCGGGGCTGTGCCCTGGCTGTGCCTTGTGAACCACCAATGGGACTGGGTATGGGCTCAACAGGTAAGCTTGGACCAAGGGACGGGACTGCCTGGGGTCAGGAAAATTTGGGTTTTGGTGCTTTTCTCTCTTAGAGAAGGGTGGCCTTGGGTCCAAGGGTACCTCCAGGAAGTGGGGAAATAGAGGTCTTGGTGTGAGTGAGGGGCAGAGAGGGAAACTGTCCAGGTACGGCATCCTAAGGCCAGGTGCTGACCACCTCTTACACTTGGCTAGCCTGTGGGGAGTGTGCCCTGGGTAGTGATGGGTGACAAAATAGTGAAGGCTACTGTGTGGGGCAATTAAGAAGCAGTGGAGAAGGTGCAGGTCAAAGGTCTCGGAGTGGGTGCTGGAGAGGAGGGGAGAGGGAGGGAGAGGAGGAAGAAGGAAGAACTGACTGAAGGAGTGGAACAGGGTCAGGGTGGGCTGTGTTGCACCTGAGGTAGAGACATGTACACCTGGCTAGCCCTGGAGGCACTGGGCATGGGCAGGTCAGAGGGAGACCAGTGGGGGCCTGGCAAGTGGGCCCTGGCTGTAGTATTCTCCTCACCCAGAAAGCCTCTCCATGAGTACCTGTGCCTGAGCACTGGTCCCTGGACCCCTACGCTGGAGACCCCCGCGCCGCAGGGAGGGTTGTTGGCTGGGTCCTAGAGAAAAAGACTCCTCAGGGGGCACTCTCAATGCTTGTTTACACTTTGTGGTTTATTTGGTGGTCAGTAATTATTGTCTTTGCTACTAAGTGGAAGAAAGCTAATAGAACGTAATCAAAATAGTGGTTTAATTGATGGATTTTACTTGTTCCTTGCACCTGTGCCTTCTTCAGCTCCTACCTGCCTACTTAGTTTATGTGGGCGCCACCATGCACCACACCCCCCGGCCCTCAGCACCCTAGGTGCCTGCCTTCCCCACCTCAGCTCCGGAGACATGATGCTCTTTCACCCTGGAGGTCTCGGCCAGCCTGTCCTCCATCCTGTCCTCGTTCTCAGGCACCACCAGCAGCCGGTGCTGGGTTTTGGCCCCCAGCTTGTGGTCAGGCCGGTGCTCAGGCCGAGAGCCCGGCCGGGTGTCCAGTTTGCACTCGGCTCGGTACTTGCCCTCACCCTCCCTCTTGAAGGAAGCAGAAGACATGGCTTTGGGTTTGGGGGGCTGCAGCCACGAGTGGCTGAGGATCTCGTCAATCTGCAGCCGCCGGTTGACATCTGGCTGCAGGATGCGGTAGATGAGGTCCTTGCACTCGCCCGTTAGGTTCTTGGAGCGTGGGAAGTCCACCCGGTGCTCCTTCTGGATGCGCAGCATCTTCTTAATATTGGAATCATCATAGGGCATGGAACCGCAGACCATGATGTAGAGGATCACACCCAGGCTCCAGATGTCATAGACCTTGGGCTGGTAGGGGATGCCCTGCAGCACCTCGGGGGCCGCGTACGCCGCTGACCCACAGAAGGTCTTGCTGAGGATGATGCGCCCACTGCCATCCCGCAGGCAGCGCTTGGAGAAGCCGAAGTCAGATAGTTTGATGTTGAAGTCTTTATCGAGGAGAAGGTTCTCACACTTGAGGTCTCGGTGTACAACGTCTAGGTCGTGGCAGTACTTGACGGCTGAGGAGAGCTGGCGGAACATCTTGCGTGCCACATCCTCATGCAGGGCCCCCCGGCACTTGATGAACTCAAGGAGGTCGCCCTGGACGCCGAGTTCCATGACGATGTAGATGCGCCCATCTGAGGTCTCGAAGATCTCGTAGGTCTTGATGATGGAGCGGTGGTTTACAGTTGCCAGGATGTCCATCTCCCGAGGAAGGAATCTCTCCACAAAGTCGGTGGGTGTTTTCTTGCGGTCGATGATCTTGACTGCCACGTTGAACTTGAGGCGCTCAGAGTAGGCAGATTTGACTTTTGCATAGGAGCCCTTGCCAAGATTGATGCCCACGATGTAACCCTTCTTCCTTAGGACCGCGGCATCGTCCATGGTGCCAGGAACGGCTGGCGCCGCTGTCCTCTACATCCCCTCCCCACGTGGACCAGCAGGCATTGTCCTCATTTACAGTGTGGGGAGCCGGTCTGGCTGGGCTGGCCTGGACTTAGAGGGGTGGAACGCTCAGCATTGTCTCCGCGTGACTTCAGCATGTGAAGTCATAAAGCCAGGCTGCCGGGAGTGGGGACTGGGCTGGGGGGAACAGGGCCCCTGGAACCATGGAAGCCCGGCTGGCCTGGCAGGAACGCTCACTCCCCACTCACTGGAAAAAAGCCAACACTCAGGACTGTGGTAATCCTCCCTGCTCTTCCTCCTTGCCGTGGCTTCCCTGTCATGAGTCAGGGGCTTCCCAGGTCCAGCCAGAGTGCCAGCCTCATCCCAGTTTCCCTCTCCTGGCTATGGGGCTGACCCTGCATTGGTCCATGTCCCACTAGGGCTGATTTTCCTGCAGCTTCTTTGGGATGTGAAGAAAACCCCATCTAGGACTTGTGTCCTTGGAGCTGGCGGTGCCTGGGAGAGACTGCCCTGGTCTGGTTAGGCCCACAGTGGTTCCACGCTTGGTGGGCAAGAGCAGCTCCTGTTAGGGATGGAGAGCTGGGTGGATAAGTGCTGCTGCTCCTGTTGCAGTCAGCAGATGTGTGTGGGGTGGAAGGACAGGCAGGGCTTGGTGTGCTGCGGACCCAGGGCCAGCAGATATGCGTTCTGAGAGCTGAGGCAGGCCTGGAGGATGGGCCAGGCTTCAGTTAGGTAGAGAAGGTGGTAAAGCATCCAGGTAGAGAAGAGCCTGGGAGAGGAAAGGGCTTGTTTTGAGAATGTCTGAGTCCCACAATCAGGATGGAGGTGGGGAGAAGGTAAGTGGAAGCTTTTCCCTGAGTGATGGGCAGCCATTGCAGGGCCCAGGGCAGGAAGAGCCATGACCCAAGTCATGTTTTAAGATGTCAACTTAGAGAATGGGCTTTGGGGTGAGTGGAGGCCAGTGCCTTTGACCATGCAAGAGCAGGCTGGACCAGGGCAGCCCTGTGAAGACCAGACAGCAGAGGGAGACAGAGGAGGGGCTGGCGCTCTGGTTAGCGAGTGGGTGGGGCCCCAGGCAGTGCTGGGGTTCCTGGCAGCACCCAGAGCGTCGACTGTTAAGAACAAGCACCTAGGTGAAGAGGAGTCCTAAATTATGTCTCTGGGCCTTGGTGAGGTATGGCATGGAGTGGCTGTTGGAACCCTGTGAAGCACATTGTTTGCATTTTTCAGATCATCTTTTGCATCTGGAAACAATGTGAAACCCCTTTTTCAGGACACACGTATGGAGTTCTGCTTTGGAAAACACAGCCTCCTGTATGCATCTCGTTAGGTACTTCTGAAGCCCTGCTGTTCATTTGTTCTCTGTCACAGGCATCCTGTGCCCCCATGTAGCAAGTTGCCAGGACAAGCGTGCCATGTGCTCGGTGTATGGGAAAGAGGGAAAAAGGCTTGCTTCTGCGTGGGTAGTTGAGTGCCGATGATGAAGCTGGCACACGGAGGATCAGTAGGGCTCTTCCAGGTTGACAGGAGGCAGATGGTGCCAGGCGGATATAATGTGTTGGCCAGAGCACAGCTGTATGGATGTATCTAGAGCACGCGGAGAGCTTCCTGTGTCTGGAGGTCTGTGTGGAAGATGGTGGGAGCAGGGGAGCCGGAGTCCAGGTGCCAGGCAGGAGTGACTGGCCTCAGCACGGCAGACCCACAGCAGCAACTGCCCTCTAGCAGCCACCCAGGCCTCTCTGAAGCCCGATCTCAGCTCCTTAGAACTTCCATTGTTAATAGCTTTAGCTGTTGCCTACCTTTCTCCTGGGGGCTCTTTTTGGCTTAAATGACCAGGATTTCACTCCTTTGTGTCTCAAAAGGAGCTGTGGGGATTTGCAGCTAGGTCCCAGGAGTATGACCCCCCCTTCTCCTGTGCCCCAAATGTTCCATCTGGGATGCCCTTGCACGTCTGCCTTCTTGGCTGACTCCATGGACCCACTTTGTGGAGTCTGTCCCCTCATACCCTGCCCTTGCCAGACAGTTTGGCCTCTTTGTTTCTTGGGGACATGGTGGAGGAGGCAGGTCTCAGCACCATGCAGGCAGAGCTGGAGTGTCTGGAGTGGGTGGCTTCACCCAGCATGTGGACACTGAGGCAGTGTCTCCTTGCATCTTGGAAGTGGGAGTGTTAGGTTGGACCAGGGGACCTCCAAGAGACTCCCAACCTGTAGTCCTGTGAGTCAAAGACCTGCAGACTCTAGGTAGGCCACCCCTTCTGAGCTTTGGTTTCTTCTGTAGAGTGAGCACCCACTTGTCTATTCACCCCATAGGCATTTGATGGTGAGTTCCAGGTACTGGGGTACACTGATGAACTAGGCAGGGCCCATGCTTTCCTGGAGCCCAGAGACCTGGGAGATTCAATGTCATACTAATGAATGTGAATGCCCAGTGGTGACTGTGCCATGACACCGAGGAACATGGAGCAGTGAGGACAGAACTGAGAACTGGACTTGGGGAGGCTGGGAAGGGCAAGGGCTGAGTCGGCCACACAGAGGAGGATGAGGACTGCTAGTGCACATGTTGGTCTGAAAGGACAGCATGGTGAGAGAATGTGGGGGTGGGAAGAAGCACTGTGGGCCACAGTGGCCATTTTGAGGGTCTTGATCCTAAAGCCTTGGTGGGGGGGTCACCGAAGGGCTCTGAGCCAGGGCCAAGCCCACTGGGTTGAGCAGCTCACAGGAGTGGCCAGCATGTGACCACCTGGGGAGGCATGGCTTCAGTCACCTGAGGTTGCCACTCTATGCTGTATGGTTCAGGCAGGTGTGTACTCTCTCTGAACTATCTCCCTACCTGGAAAGCACACAATAGGTGCTCCTTCCTGTGGTTCCTCCCACCCAGGCTCACCTCCTGGCTGGGCTACAGTGAGACTCCCAGGCCCTCTTGCCTCACATTGTTCACTGCCCTGAGGACTGCAGCAAGCTGCAGAGATGACCAGGGGGAGGAGGTTCATGAGCATCTCCTCAGGACCTCCCCATTTCAGCTGGCCCCAAGTTATCTGCAACTCCACTCCATCACCAGACTAGCTGCATGACTCTGGGCTCCTGGGGCCTTTAGTCTTCACTGGAAAAATTGAGTGGCCACTCCAGTATTTCTAGAGCCTGTTCTGTGCCTGGACCCTGGGCACTTGCTGTCTGTCTGCTGAGCGCTGTTAGGGGCCCACAGAAGGCCTTGTGGAGGGCACGGCCCCTCGACTGAGCCTGGAGATATGGGCAAGATCTGCAAGGACACGTCCACGAGCATGATTATGGTATGTATGTATGGGGTGTGAGGTGAGGGAGGGAGCTGGGAAGCTAGGAGGCCAGACTTGGGAGGACCTCAAAGGCAAGGTACTGGGATCCTTCCTGGGCAGAGGGAGCCAGATTGGGTACTACATGGGATGATGGGAAGGAAGGCAGGGATGGAAGCCTTGGCGGTGGCTGAGCCATGACACATAGAGGAACATGGAGGTATGAGGACACAGAATATGTGAAAGTGGCTGTAGGGAGGGAGGAGCCAGGCAGAGTTGTGGTTCAGATGTGGGGAGGGTTGCAGAAAGCAGGTCTCAGGCACTCACTGGGTCTCACTTCACCCAGGGGTTTGGGGGTTGGAGTCACCCCAAGACAGAGACCTGGGAAGGGGCGTGGGGATTGGGGGTTGAATCTGAAGGTTCTTGTCCTCTTGGTGTGTTAACCCTGCAGGTCCACAAGAGGTTATCAGAGTGAGTGCAGAGCAAGAGGAGAAAGGGCCATCACGCCGAGGTGAGGACTGCCTAAGAAACGGTGGGCAGGGCTCTGCCATGTACAGCGGCCAGTGATGCTAACTACAGGCCTGCTGCCTCTGTGGGACACCAATGGCTACAGTGGCCAGGCATGCATTGTGAGGACACCTGTCCTGTCTCCTCGCCAGTGTCAGCTTATCTAATCTGGCAGGGAGCATCATCCCTGGGGACAGACTGGGACTAGAGGGGAACAGAGTGTAGTCAAGGCCACACAGTTGTGGGACATGCAAGCTGGAATGTGGTTGTGCTGTCCAGCAGAACCCCTTGCTTCCCCTGAGCTGGGATAATGACCATTGGGCAGGATGACTCAGGGCACCATTGAGAACTGGGTGCCAGCTAGACACAAGGGAACCCCTGGTGGACAGAGCAGAAAAATTGAGTTTCTTATTAGGGTGGGGAGGGAAACCAAGAGAGGCTGAGAGGCTGGTCCACCTGCCCTCTGGAGGTCCCTCCCCACTGGCAGCCTTGTGGGGCCTTCTCCTACCCCTCCTCTTCAGACAGCCTTTTCATCCTCCTGTCTTCTTCCTGTTTCCCCCACCCCACAGCACTGTACTCATGGCCTCCCTCTTGAAGCAGCATCTTCCTCACTCAGCTCTTGGCTCTGGTGCAGGGCCTGAGGTCATGGTCAGGTCACAGTCAGGGCTGGGCACACTGAAATATATTTTCCAAAGTGCTGGTGGAGGAGGGGATCCTTTCCCTGGTTGACCGCAGTCAGCCAGGGCAAAGACATTCATGTAGGGGACTGCACTAATATAGTGATTTATTGCTTCTTTAGCCATATAGATTACCAAGTTCAACGGGAGGGTATAGAAACTGATGAAAATAGTGCCTTATCCGGGACTGTCTTCTTTCTCAGGCTCATCCCTTGGCTTTTCTGGAGCTCAGGCTCGAAGCTGTGACCTCTGCCTCATCCCCTTGGCTGTGAGAGAGGCTCACTAGGTGTGCATCTCTGGAGGCTGTGGGGGGGCCCCTTCCGCTATCTCCATATTCATCTGTTCGCCTGTGAGGGTGAGGCCTGTGGTCTCCAACTGCCTTGATGCCTGCACTGGCAGCTTCTCTTCCTCGAGTTTCGACTCAGGCCTTGCCTCAGGCCGTGCCTCTTCCTGGGGTTCCAGTTTGGTGGCAGACTTCTTATTGGAGCCGGGCTCAGGGGTCCATGAGGGTTCAGTGCTCCGGGAGCTCTCCCCCTTCTTGTTGATGGCTGCAGAGGACAGGCCCTGGGCCTTGGGCTGCACCCAGCAGTGGCTGAGGATCTCGTCAATGTGCAACCGCCGGTTGACATCTGGCTGTAGCATGCGGTAGATGAGGTCCTTGCACTCACCCGTCAGGTTCTTGGAGCGCGGGAAGTTGACACGGTGCTCCTTCTGGATGCGCAGCATCTTTTTGATGTTGGAGTCATCATAGGGCATGGAGCCGCAGACCATGATGTAGAGGATCACTCCGAGGCTCCAGATGTCATAGACCTTGGGCTGGTAGGGGATGCCCTGCAGCACCTCGGGGGCCGCGTACGCCGCTGACCCACAGAAGGTCTGGCTCAGTGTCAGTTGGCCACTGTCGTCCCTCAGGCAACGCTTGGAGAAGCCGAAGTCAGATAGCTTGATGTTGAAGTCCTTGTCGAGGAGAAGGTTCTCACACTTGAGGTCTCGGTGTACAACGTCTAGGTCGTGGCAGTACTTTATGGCCGAGGAAAGCTGGTGGAACTTCTTTCGAGCATCGTCTTCATGCAGGGCTCCCCGGTTTTTAATGAACTCAAGGAGGTCACCCTGGACTCCGAGCTCCATGACAATGTAGACCTTGCCATCCGAAGTCTCAAAGATCTCGTACGTCTTGATGATGGAGCGGTGGTTTAGCATGGCCAGAATTTCAATTTCCCGGGGAAGGAATTTCTCCAAGAAGTCTGTGGGGGCTTTCTTACGGTCAATGATCTTGACTGCCACATTGAACTTCAGGCGCTCAGAGTAAGCGGATTTGACTTTTGCGTACGAGCCCTCTCCCAAATTTATCCCCATGATGTAGCCTCGTCGCTTGAGGATGGCAGCATCATCCATGGTTCCAGGAGCACCCAGTGCCTCTGAGGCTGCCCTGCGAGACGTGGGCCAGCAGCGTCCTCATTTAAACTGTGGACAGAGAGTCCTCTGGGCTGGCTGGGCCTGCTGTCCCTGCCTCCTAGAGGCCCATACTCTAGGGTAGAAGGTTCGGCATTGTCTCCCAGGTGACTTCAGTGGGTGAAGTCATAAAGGAGGAGTGCCCTGGGGGAATGAGGCTCTGGCCTGAGCCACTTGAACTTGGAACCCCGGAATGCCAGCCTGTGGGTTGGAGCAGACTGAAGGCCTTTGGAGAGTAACCTTGCATTTGGCTGGGACCTGAGGTAGGAGAGGGCCATGGGGACACATCAGTCTGCCCATGCCTCCAGATCTGGAGCCAGGACTGCTTGTGGAGCAGAGGGGCTGATTTCTGCAACCCAGGCATCCCAGGAAATCCAGGGCAGTTGTTTGTGTCAGTCTGGGTCCTAGCAGCAAACAAGACATACTCCAGTTAGGGCAGTCCAAGGAGGGTTTATTAAGGGCATAATTTACAAAGGTAGGAGCAAAGTGTAGGAATCTCCAATGGTAGTCATAGACTCCTAAAAGAAGGGAGCAATGGTCACTGGAACCTGGGAAGAGTGTAAAGGGGGCCACCTTGAGAGAGGCAGCGACCTTAGTGGAGGCTACAGTGACTCTATAGGGAAGGAGCTAAGGAGAAACGTCCCTAACTTCTCCCTCCCTTTAGTCCTGGAAGCCCTTACTGGTGTCCACACAGGCGGCCTGCGGGACTGAGAAGGTTCGGAGATGGGTCAGGAGGGACAAAGACTCTTGGCCTGGGATCATTGACTTTAGAAAGCTGGGGCTCTACCTTCTCACATGGTTTGGCCGGACATTTCACCTCCCTTTACTTCTCTTTTCTCGTTCAAACCTTTGCCAGTCTGTCTGACAGTGGCTCTGCTGCGCAGGGGATTTCTGGAAGGGATTTCTGCTCTTGACTGTGTTTCTTCCTGGGGGCCTCTTCCCAGACTGTAGCCCTCGATTGGCTCCCAGGGCAGATCTGGGGCTGGGAGGCAGAAGGCCAGGCCTGGAGTGCCAGCAGCTGCTCCTGGAATGCTCCCTGAGGATGGTGCAAGTGGAAAGGTCAGCATTGGACAGGGACTAGTCTCTCTGTGCAGTGGAGCCCCTCTGCTGTGACAGCCCCTTTGTCTATTACCTGCTTCAGGCCACGCCCTGAGGAGCAGGGACAGGCAGGTCTGGCCTAGCTTTGGGTTTAACCTTGGCCATATCTACCCAGAGGGAGTGTGGATGCCTCTCTCAGGTGACCCTGAGTGTCACAGGTTTGAATCCTGGGACATCAAGAGAACCATACCTTGATGGGGCTTGGGAAGACTGCTCTTGCTTGGGGAGTGAGTTGGTGGGGCTAGAGGTGGGCCAGGCAAGAATAGGTCCGTACCACCTTTGGCCGTTCCCCCTTTTCTCTGCACCCTCTTCACCCATCTTCACCCTCTTTTCCAATCCTGACACCCTGTGCCAGGCCTTGGCACAGCTTCCTTTGGACAGCTTGCTCCTCTCTCCTGCCGAGGACACTATCTGCTCTGTCCCCTCTCATGGTCACTTTGTTCCTGATAACAGGTGCGAGGTCAACACTTGGAGCACTATCACCAGCAGCTTTCCTCCAGGCAGATGTGGCCTGCTGTGGCACCAGCTGTGCCCAGCCTACCTTCCCCTCCTCCTCCATTGTGTAGGCAGGGCTCTTTCTCCAGAAGCCAGCTTTGCTCCAGTCTCTCTATAACCACAGCTTCTCTGTCAGCTCTCTTTGTATGACACACCTTTAGGCTACTTCCTCATCTGTTTTGAAACATTTTTCAGAACCACCTCAAGGATAGCGTGGGCCCCTCCAGTTTTCTTCATCTCTTCTCTGCAGCGGTTCGGCCTTAAAAAGACCACTTTAGGGAGCACTCTTGGGCCACAGACCAGACCTCAGCCTGCAAGTGTGCAAAGTTTGAAGACCCTTTTGTGTCCCTGTTCCCCTCGGCTCCCTTTTTGTCCTCTTCCTTTATGCTGATCCCCTTGGGCCACTCCCGGCTCCTCCGCTCCCTACCCCTCTGCCCAACTGAGCCCCGCCCCTTTCTGTGTCCGTCATCTAGAGTCCATTGCCCCTCCCCCGCGCCTTGAGCCCTCAGGTCCTAGGTCCTTCCGAGGCCCTGCAGTTCAGGCTCCGTCCCCGAGCCCCACCTCTCTGTTTAGCCTATGGCACACTTCACTTCTTATAGTCCCGCCCCCCCGTCGGGCCCGTCCCGGCCTTAGGCCTCGCCCCTTTTGTACACTACTGCCCAGGCTCCGCCCCTGTTAGGTTACTGGTCCGCACGCACTGGGAACGCGTAGGCCCCGCCCCCTCTCGGCGCTCATTGGCTGGTGCCGCGTCGCGGGCAAGAGGCGGGGTGGTGCGGAGCCGAACAGGACAGCCGCCATCTTGCGCAGAGCCAGAGTCGGAGCCCGAGGTTGCGACCGAGAGTGTGCGCGAGCCCACGGCCAGCGCAGCCGTGGCCCGGCCGGAGCTCTTTCTCGCCGCCTTCCCGCGCCCAGACCCACCCCAGCCCCCAGATTCTCAGCCCGGCCCGGCCCAGCCTCCCCGCGGGGTCACGCGTCTGCCCTGGGGACGATGAACGGAGGATAAATGGTGCCCAAGGCAGACAGCGGTGCCTTCCTGCTGCTCTTTCTGCTCGTGCTCACC